CAGGAGGGTGGGCAGAAGTTGAAGTGAGTGAAGAGGGTCAAATATACGGTGATGGAAGGAGACTAAACTTTGGATGGTGAGCACACACTGCAATATTCAGATGATGTATTATAGAACTGTACACTTGAAACTCACAGAATCTTATTGACCAGTGTCACTTCAATAAATTTAATTCTAAAAAAAGAAAATGAGTTTGATAAAGGGTAGAATAATTGCTCTGAGCTCAGGTATTGCAGTATAATTTTATTACTGTCACTAGAATAGAACTTAATTTGTTCTTAGAGTATGAGTTCACTGGTTTTAACTGGAACAACTGTTTATTTTAAAATAAAGCCTAAATATATAATCTGGATAAAGTAGAATTCAAAATCAAAACATTAAAGGGCTGACTGCAGTAGGACCTCTTGGCAAAGAGTGATTATATTTAGTTTAGGAAGCATTTTATTAGTACAAATATTAAATGTATCTCATAAAAATGTATCACCCATTTTTTCCAAATGGTACAAAATAATGTTATTTGAAAAGTGTTTCAAATTTTCAGAAAAGAATCTTTTCTAAAAATATTAGCAAAACTGATTTCTTGAAAACTAAGTATCCTCAAAAGCATTGGTGGCTGGAGACACGTGCATGTATTCTTTCACACCGAGAGCTGGAAGTGTGATGTGCCGCCTTAAAAATTAATAGTCAAGCCCTGGCCGGTTTGGCTCAGTGGTTAGAGTGTCAGCCTGTGGTCCAGAGAGACCCAGGTTCAGTTCCCTCTAAGGGCATGTACCTCAGTTACAGTTTGTCCCTGGCCCTGGTTGGGTCGTGAGGGTGGCGACCACTCCACGTGTCCCTTTCGATCGAGGTTTCTCTCTCTCTCCCTCTCTTCCTCCTACTCTATCTGAACAAAAAATGGAAAAATGTCCTCAGGTGAGGATAAAAAAAAAATTAATAGTCAACTCCTGGAAGTCCACTCCTACAGTCACATCTGCTTAAGAGGAAACAAATATTTTTAGGAGTCCAATAACAACTATTGGGAGTTGCTCTAAATTGTTAAATAAACAGTTTTAAAAACAGACACACAAAGACGTCTCTGAAGATTGATACAGGCCAAATTCGATGACAAACTCCAAGGGCCCATTCAGTTCTTTTGTACTGTTAGTATTCTGTTGGATCAGATATAGATCCTATTAAGCAGGACATTACCTGATCTGAGGAATCTTTTTGTCCCCGGACATAGTGCTTAGTTTCATGAGATGTAGGTGTCACAAAACAAATGATGTCACCATTTTCATCAGTGGAGAGTGAAATGAGAAAAATAAGGGCAACGATACGCACACACTCACACACATCAGAGAAATGAATGTATATAAATATTATTTATAGTTGTCAACTTTTTTTTTAATCTTCACCCAAGGATATTTCATTTTATTTTTCAGACAGAATGGGAGAGGAAGGGGGAGAGAGAGAGAGAGAGAGAGAGAGAGAGAGAGAGAAACATCGATGTGAGAGAGACATGTCAATTGGTTGCCTCTCTCATGACCCCAACCAGGGGGCCGGAGACCGAACTGCAACCAAGGTATGTGCCCTCAACTGGAATCGAACCCGTGACTCTTCAGTCTGCAGGCCAGCGCTCTAACTGCTAAGCCACACCGGCCAGGGCTATAGCTGTCAACTTTTCTCTATTGAAAAGACTGTGCATTTTTCTAAAATTGTGTCATTTCCTAGTTTTTAAAAAAATATTAAAATGTCCTTTTTTTTTAATGAAGTGGTAGCAACAATAGTTGGTAGTTGGTTTTTTAAAACATTGAGAACCCTGCCTTGGCCGGGTTGCTTGTAGTGTTTGTCATCCCATACACTAAAAGGTTGTGGGTTCAATTCCTGGTCAGGACAAGTACCTAGGTTGCAGGTTTGATTCATGGTTGGCGCGCATACAGAAACCAATCAATGTTTCTTTCCCACATCAAAGTCTCTCTCTCCTCCTTTCCCCTCTCTCTAAAATCAATTTTTAAAAAATATGCCCTGGCCGGTTTGGTTCAGCAGTTAGAGCGTTGGCCTACAGACCAATGGGTCGTGGGTTCAATTCCAGTCAAGGGCAAGTACCTCGGTTGCGGTTCATCCCAGCCCTGGTCAGGGTGCAGGAGGCAACCGGTTGATGTGTCTCTCACATCGATGTTTCTCTCTCTCTCCCTCTTTCCCTCCCTTCCACTCTATCTGAAGATAAATGAATGAGAATTAAAATATATATATAAATGCTGACAACCCTATCCCAACCTGTAAAAACAACAACAAAATTTTTGAAATATTACTGGTCCACAAAATCCAAAAATCCACAAATAACAACTTTCTAAATATATATATCTATTAGCTAGCTCCCCTTCTTTTTAGAAGAAAGCCAACTCCTTAGCCTGGCATTTAAAGTCTTCTACATCTGGTCTTGACCTAGCTTTCTAGCTTTCCTTATCATAATGGGAGCAGTCAGGTGATTAGCACCTGCCTGTCCTCACCTGCTTTGACTAAGGTCATTGGGGTACCTTCAGCCTCAGTCTGGCTGCTAACTTCTGGCTCCTAACTCCTGACCTTAGCAGGGGTCATTTAAAGCCCCAGCTCTGTGAGGGACGTTCAAGGAAAACCCTCGGAACTTAAACTCACTGAGTCACTGACCTTCAGCCTTTCCCTGGGCCCAACGAACTGTGTTTTGCTCACAGTTTAGTCATCTTCCTTCCCATGGGCACTGAAGCTCTGCCTTCAATTCCAGTTCAGATGAGACCCTAAAACACTTGCTAAATCTCACCGATTTCCTGTTCTCAGGGGCTACAACATGTGCCCTGGAGTCAGGCTCCAAACCCCAAAGGCCCCCTTCTCTACCTGGCCTGTTAGCAGCCAGCAGGCATCTTGGCCCAGACTTTGGAGTTATTACTTATGCCCCTCGATAGACTGCTTTCCTCTTAGGCATCTTTTCCCTGGATAGACTGTCTGCTCTGAATGCTTTCTCTCTCATTCCATGCCTCCCCAGACATCTCAGAGTCGGCTCAAACATGCCTCCTAACACTTTACTTTCATTATTTAATAAACATGTAGAGGGGTCTTGGCAGGCAGGGGGACACAAGGTGAATGACACAGGCCCTGCCCATTAGGAACCCAGTGTACGCTGAGTGAGAGCTGAGGCGAAATTACTTCCCTTCCACAAGTTAACGTCTGAAAGACAGGGTCTACAACTGGTGTGAACATTGTTTTAGGCGCAATGGGGCTCTACAAGTATTTACTGCGAAAATAAATGGGAAAACATGGCTATATTTAACATACCCTCAATTCATTTATTCAGCAAATATTTTAAGTACCGTAAGGAATACCACAGAATTCTGAAACGTTAGGGTTTAAAGGGACAGTCTCTACAGAAATCTAGTCCCATCACCTCATAGAGATCAGGGGAGTCTATGTCTGTGCACTTGATTTTGGAAGGTAGGGTTGCTGCATGTTTTGAAATGAGGCTCCTATGCACACACTCTATTCTTTAGATAAATATTCAGTTATTCAAGAGAACACATCTGACTTCCTAACTTACTGGCAACACCTACCCTTCCTAAGAGCTTATTTTTTAAACCTTTTTAAAAATCCAACAATAACATTTAGTGGAGCGGCTACAACATGCCAAGTAGTTGATACAAAGATACAGAGGCGAGGTCCCCCATCCTAGAGGAACTCAATTAATTAAGGGAGCTACACCTGTAAACATAATATTGCTAAGAAGTGGTGAGGGATTTCAGAGAGGCATTCACAGGTGACCTTCAGAATCAGAAAAAGAGTCTCACCACTAGAAAGAAAATTTCTTTTCTTTGGAGTAAAGGAATCTTTGAAATACAGTGATCACCCTCTCCTCTAGAAAAGCCTGAAAAAGTTAAAAACTGCCCCCCAGCTCAAGAGAAATGGTGAGAACCTCTCCCATTTTCCTGTAGAGGGTGGGGAAGGGCAGAGGTTGCCCAGCCCAGGTGGTGAACACTGCTGTCCTCACCCCTTCCGAGGGGAGCACTTCGGGAGGGGGGTGGTTGTAAGTGTTTTCTCAGAATAGATAACATCCTGCTGATAAGAAATATCCTAAGCCCAAATAAGAAACTGTTCCTATTATCCACTCACTTTAATTTGTCCAAAGCCTGTTGCTGCTTCCCATTCAGGGTCCTTATCCAAAGAAAATCTCACACACTCAATTCATGGGGAAAAGAAGACTTTTTTAAGAGAGGCCTGGAGAAGTGGAGAAGCAAAGATAAGAGAAAATCCGAGTGTTCCATCATCTCCCCCAAAGCTGCGCTTTCCTTGCCATATTTAAAACCAAGTACACCCCCGCTGCATTCAGTACATGCCACCATCTACCTTACAGTTTGGGTTTCATCTTCACAGAAATTCAGAAAAGAAGCCTCTTTTCATTAGAGGAAAAAAATAGTTTTAGCTTGTAATAAACAACTCCTCCTGTTTGATATCATGGTCTCCTAGGATTAACTAATAAACATTTTAAAAGTCATCATTTCACTTCTTTGAGAAGAACCTTTCTTTTCAAGACAGGACGTTGTGATGCTCAGTGGTGATGTGGGGTGTAATTAAAGTCTGACCGCTTCCTAACAATTTGAAAACAGGTGAGTGATTAATTCTCTTAACGGGCTGAGAACATCCGCAGAAGACAGCCCCGGAGTGTAAAAATCATGAATGCTAACAAACCTGAGTTGTGGTTAGTTCTTGTACTATCAAAGTTGATGGCCCTTAAAGAACCAGACCTACAGGTGACATGGAAGAGAAGCTATCGGGAAAGAAAAGAAAAAATCCCACAGCATCTCCACAAGTGAATACTACCTTGCCCTGTTTTCTAGTTCATTATATAACTGGTGGCTTGTGCACAGGCATCCCTTCATGTCACAGGACAACAGTCCCTGAAGGAAGGAGCTGCAGCCACATCTCAAGGCATTTATTTAACATAACATGATTCCAATATTTTAGTCCCTGACAATTCACTTTAAAGAATCCATTACCTTGAGCATGCGGATTTCTCGAAGGGCGATTTTCTTTATGACCGGGTCATCTTCTGATTCCAGAAACCTCTTGATGGCCACAATCTGACCCGTGTTCCTGTTTCTGCATTTGAAAACAACTCCATAGGATCCTTCACCAATTTTCCCAATTTTTTCATACTTCTCCATCACAGAGGAATAAATCTTCTTAAAATGGATCTTCACATAGTTTGAAAATATCGGTTATAAAATATTGGCACGAACTGACTGGACTGAGCCCCTCTCAGCGATGGGTCTCTGTCAAGAACCTGGAACAGAACAAGGGCACCTGTTCAAGAATTAGGAATTGACTCAGTTTTAAAGCCTAGTCCCTCAGCAACGGCAACGTGACCAAAAGACAGCCTAGAGTTAGGTAACCCAATTTTAACCATTTGCTATATACACCCCCGCAAGATAAAATGCAACCCATCATCCTAAAACGAATCGAGTTGTAAGATAATCTATCTTTTTAACGTTATAGTTCATCCGATCTAAGACACATGAGCTGGCTGGAGGTCGAGGAAGGCTAAGGGCTTCCCCGGTTCTAATTTCGGGTCCGATTTCCCTGCAGCAAGAAGACACCGCCGGGCTTCCAGCGGGGGCGGCGGGGCCCGGAAGGAGGGGAGACCTGGCCCCGAGGGGCTCCCAGCCCGCGCCCTGCACCCCCAGACTCGGCCGCCCGTGCAGGGGCGCGGGCCCGGGGCTCGGGAACCGCAGGCCGCGCAGAGCCGCCGCCGGGCCCCCTCCGCCACCCCGCTGCTGAGTCGCGGCCGCGGGAAGACGCGCCAGCGCCGCTCTGGCCTCCCTTCCGCGCCCTGGCCGGCGCCGCGCAGCCTCGAGCGGAGCCACGTGGAGGCCAGGACCGCCCGGCCCGCGCCTCCTTCCCCAGCCGGACTCAGCGCCGCGGCTGCCCGGCCTGGCCTCCCACCTCGCCGACTTCTGCCCGGCTCCGCTCTCCGCCTGCTCGGCCGCAATCCCTATGGGAACGGGCCCCCGCCCCGGGCTGGCTGGGCGGGGCGCCGCGCCCGGCTTCCCGCAGGACCCGGCCTCGGGCCTTGCTGCGGGGGAGGGTCCCGGTGGGTAGTCCTCTGAAGGAGCTGTCCAGACAGTGGGTCTGGGGCCGTGCACCGATGCCCCTTGGCCGGGAGAGAAGGCCTACAAGTCTGGCAAAACGCACCTGGAGCAGAGTCTACTGGGAAGACGCCTGCGCGCGGAGTCCCCTCACCTTCACGCATCAAGGACATGCAGTTACTACTCCGCGTAACAACTGTGATTGCTCCTCCGTATTTTCTGCTAGACTGTAAACGCCTTGAGGGAAGCTTCTGTGTCTGTCCTGATCAGTGCCATAGCATCCAGTCAGTGAATGAATGAATGAATGAATGAATGAATGAATGAGAAAGGAAAAGAAGAAGAGGACGGTGTGACCGAAATTGGTTAAAGTCAGCACTTCAACCCATTAGCTTGGAGGGTGAGGATGCTCCTTGACCACTGACTTCTGCTATAGCCCCCCCTTCTGACGTGGGAGATGGAGGCTTACAGAGCCTGCCTTGTTTCAGGTTCCTTAGTCACATCTTTCTCCCAGCTGGCTCCTACTTGCTCAGATTTGAGCACAAAGGAGGGAAGTTAATAAACCTGGAGAAATCATGGATTAAAGGTAATTTGCCACTGGGCAGAATGTCTCAATAATTGATCATCTATCCCAGGAGTGAGGAACGTCTGGCCCTCGACCTGCGAAATCATTTGGTTTGGCCCTGCCAAGGCAACCACAGGCGGGACTCCAAATCCAATAAATCTAGGAGCTTTTTCCAAAGCAACATAAATTTATATGAAGTGAATCAAAATAATAACGTAAATTTTGAGGGACAAATAAGGAACGTCCATTCTGGGGAAGACAGGACATATACAAGTACATGACGGGAAACACACATATGCTTCTCGAGGGCTGCCCGCCGCCCATCTGCCTGTCTTCAGAGACTCAGGAAACAGTCAGTGCCAGGCAGCCTGGGAGTGTACAGTCGGCCCTCGTTTATCGCAGTTAATCAGTTCCAGACTCTACTGCGATAAATGAATTTCTGAGAAGTAGGATTCTTTATTTATAAATCAAATATTTTCGCAGTTAGAGCATAGAAAACCTGTTTACAGCCTTCTAAATACGTTTTTCAACATTATTAGAGCCCTCTAGACATGAAATAGCACCCTTTAGTCACCGTTACACTCGTATTACCCAATGTATTAGACAAAATAAGAGAAAATAAGGCATATTAGATGTTACAAATATACTATTATTGTACATTTAATTACACACACAGTTCTTACACACAAGTACTAACCTATGAAAATAGTACAACTTGTTCGATGATGAATTTGAAGGTGAAGAGATGTACTGCACAGCAAAGAAGAGCAAGGTTACTGCTCCTCTGAAGGCACGACCGCAGTAGGAGAGTCTTCAGGTGGTGCAGTATCTTCACAGGTGCGTCGTTGTCTTCTTCCACTGAAGGAGCACTAGAAGTAGGCGGTGGGTGTCTGGGTGCACGGCTGAAGAACATCGTGGTAGGCAGTTGCTGGTGCTGACTTTTCATATGCATGAGGAGGCTTTTGTAGGGTTCTGTTGCTCCATCAAGCGCATTCCGGAACCGCAATGCACACATCATTTATGGGTCCCATTCACCAATCACGTCCTGTACCACCTTAATAGTCCTCATGATTTGCGAGAGACGCTCAAGTGTAAGGCCAACTTCCTCCTCCTGACCCCCAGGAACCTCTGGCCTCTTCCTCCTCCTAATTCGCAGACTTAGTCGTCTCCACCAGATCCTGGTCAGTTAAGGGATCTGACTGTGTCTCCAGCAGCTCATCCATGTCATTGCAGGTCATATCCGCAAAACCTTCTCCTCCCAGCATCCGGGCTAGCCTAAGTGCCTTATCCACTGCTGAGGTGCTTATATCCTCTTGGGTGAATCCTCTGTAGTCGTGGACAATTTAAGTCCACAACATCTTCCAGCTGGCCTTCACGGTCTCTGTCTTTATGTCTTTCAACGCCGCCTGGATGTTCTTCAGACAGGTTGCGATGGTATACTGCCACCAGTACTCCTTCAGCAAGAAGTTCTCCTCAAGGTCCATGCCTTCGAGGAGGTGCTGCAGGGTGTTTCGCGTGTAGAGGGCCTTGAATGCCTGAATAACACCTTGATCCAAGGGCTGGATCAGTGAAGTGGTGTTAGGAGGAAGGAACTCAATCTGCACACCATCGTCTGATAGGTCTTGCACATGACCTCCTGCATTGTCCATGAAGGAAAGGACATTAAACTTGAGTCCCTTCTCCACGAGATACAGCTTGACTTGGGGGATGAAGCACTTGTGGAACCAGTCCGATGACAGCTGCTTCGTGATCCAGCCCTTGTCGTTGTGCATCCAATGCACTGGCAGCAGGTTCTTGTTTTTATTCTTCAGGGCCCTAGGGTTCTTGACCTTGTAGATAAGTGCAGGCTTGAGCAAAAATCTCTCAGCATTTCCCCACATGACGATCCACATGACGAGTCACATGATCCTTATACGCCTTTGAAGCCACGGACCTCGGCCTCATCCTTAAAAATGAATGTCCAGGAAGGCATTCTTTTCCAGAACAGTCCTGTTTTGTCCATATTGAACACCTGTTCTGGATGATACTCTCCCTCCTCAAGGATCTTCTGGAACGTGTTGTTCACGTCGTCCTCTGCTGCAGGCTGGTCAGCAGAGGCAGCTTCTCTGTGGAGAACGACACTCTTCAGATAATACCTCTTTGGAACTTCTCAAACCAACCCTTGCTCATCGTGAAATCCATGAATGTTGCAGAAGAGGGTCCTGGTTGAGGTTCGTCCGCCGTAAAGCACTGATAGAGCTGCCTCACCTTCTCCCAGATGACCAGCAATTCCAGTGGAATGTTTTTCTTGTGACTGTCACTGATACAAATGGCTAGGGCAGACTCAGTTTTTACTATGAACTTATTACGACTTGTCATGACACTTTGCTCCCTTGTTGAAAGAGACAGTAGTCGTTGCACGGATGTACTTTTCATCTTTACAGATGGAGAGAATGGTAGACTCATTCAAGTCATAATGGTGGGCAACCTCCATGATTTTCTTGCCATCTTTGATCATATCCAAGAGTTTCACCTTCTCTTGGATGGTAAGTACCTTCTCTGACGCTTAATTTCATCGTCAGAGGGCTTAGAAGAAGCAGCATGTTTAGGAGCCATCGTGGGGCTTAGATAAAAGTTCTCAGAAATCGGCCCTGGCCGGTTTGGCTCAGTGGTTGGAGCACTTGGCCCGCGGACCAGAGAGTCCCGGGTTCGGTTCCTGCTGGGGGCACGTACCTCTGTTGCAATTTGTCCCCGGCCCTGGTTGGGGTTGTGTGGGTGGCAGCCACTCGATCTGTCTCTCACATCGATCTTTCTCTCTCTCTCTTCCTCCCTCTCTTCCTCCTGCTCTATCTGACAATATATGAAAAAAAAAAATGTCCTCGGGTGAGGATAAAAAAGAAAGTTCTCAGAAATCGCAAACACTTACAAGAGCAAAGATGCTTTTGATGTGTAGTGATGTAGAAGCCTATGTGAGAGAAACAAACTTGCATGAGGCTGAGCCAATCAGAGGCCAGGATAGGAAGAGGATAGGATAGCCAATCAGTGAACAGCACGCTCTGATTGGCTTGGTTTCACCACACCCAATTTTCTGGAAAAATGTTATTGCCCGCACACAAGGAGTGGTCTAGCGGTTGCACCTGGCATTGAAGTATTTGTGGGGGTGCTCGAATACATAGGCCTACAGTCCATATGTACAGTAATTTTAATTGTAATTGTAATACAGGGGTATATAATTGACTCAGACAACTAAGCGCATGCTATATCATTTTCACTGTCTCGATCAACTTTGTAATGAATATATTTGAAAACACTACAATAGAATGAAGCCGCGAAAGTCAAAGTGCGAAGTGGCAGGGACGACTTGTACATGTTGCAAAAGTGTTAAACACACTGTGGTGAAACTACGGTGATCTGGTGACGTTGAGAGCAGATGCGATAAGATGATTCCTCATGTCCTTGAAGACCTTGCCTCCGATGCTTGATGACAATGTTGTTGACTTCTTTGTCAACACACGATAACTCCAACCCAACCTTTAGCATCTACGATCAACAATCCTCACAAAAACTGAATCTCAGGTGAAGATTAAGGAAATTACAGCACACAGAAAAGACCGCAAGCGTCGATGATACGAATGTTGGATATGTTCCAAATCCAAGAGGCAGGATTAGAACAGCCATCAAAGCAAAATAATCGTGTCACTGGCAACACACACTGAATAATTATTAAAACTTAAGTGGTGTGACATCCTACAAGTGATGACTACAAAGGAAAGAAAAATAGATGCAGAGTGTTGATCTTCCTAAGAGAAATGGACAGATGATTATTTTTTTTTGTTGAAGTCAAAGGCAAACCTGTGTGCCTGCTTTGTGGTGATGTATTAGCAATAATGAAAAAAGCCAGCCTGGAGCGTCATTACAGGTCAAAACATGCTCAACTCAATAAATTGGGAGGCCAAATGCATCTGGATAAAATCAGTGCTCCTCAGCAGAGTTTGAAATCAGAAGTCGCTTTCACAAGGCCTCATTGTGACAGAGACAATGTTGTTCAGACGAGTTATGTAGTGAGGGAGCTAATCGCAAAGAAGCTGAGGCCTCATGCAGAGGGAGAGTTGGTGAAAGAGTGCATGGTGGCTGCTATGGAGTTGTTAGCACCAAAGTAAAATTGTTTCAGAGTGTTAGTTTGTCCCAGAGAACCGTTATCAGATCGGATTACTGATTTAACAGAAGATACTGAAAATACACATAAGGATTCTGCAGGAGATTTCCAATTTTTCTCCCTGGCTTGTGAGGAGACAACAGACATAACAAATACTGCCTAACCAGACATTTTCATTCATGAGGTAACTG